TGTTCCTTCGCCTCTGTGAAGCCTGAAGTCAACTAAAGGGCTAATGATAACTATCAGAACGCCTGCCATTTGATATAAATAAATTGTTGAGCTCTTTCAAATGCTTCCCATGACGACAAATTGTGCGATTTTATTTTATTACAGTGCGTAAGTGTACAAATAGTAATCATAATCATAATGCAGAAGAAGAAGATGATGATGATGATGAAGAAGGTTGCGAGTTCCGTCAAGGTGATGGCATACTCAATCATTGAGAAAATTTCATTCCCAATCAAAGCCACTCTAAGACACAACCTAATTATACTGGGAATTCCATTACGAAACCAATGCTTTCCACAGAGTCTTACATTATCTTAGTGACTTATCCCAAACGAGGAGACCAAGTGGTAAGCAGGAGACAGAATTGATTGAAGATGAATGGGTGTCGAAAGAGTGGAGAAGTGGACAAATAACTTGGGAAGTGAGAGGAAAGTGTCAGTATTGAATGGACAGTGTCTGGTTTACTCCTGTTTGAGTCATTGCGTGACCAATTGAATGAGAAGACATTGAGAGTATAAGTCTGTGTATATAGTAGGCAATCCTTTCTCTTGTCAACTGACATCGATTTCAAATCCTTCTCATTTTTCATCAATATGCAGTTAAGAATATTTCAAGTTGTGAAATTTTATATAGAATGTACCAATTGATACCCAAATCAAGTATAACTTAGGTTTAAGGATAAAAGACTGCATATGTCCCCTACTTTCACTGTAATTATTTCACGATATCTATATTTAGTCGTAGTTTCGTGTCGAAATCTTGCCCCTACACAAATACACTGTAAAAATACGTTTGAATATCTTTCTTTCAAATGGCAGGCGTTATGATAGGTATCATTAGCTCTTTAGTTGACTTTAGGCTTCACAGAGAGGAAGATAAACATCAAAGTGGTAAAACGTCGAGAGGGGGACAGAATAATGATTCACAGACACAAAGGTAGAAAAAGGTGTGGTGAGTACTGTGCAAGTAGTCGAATATTAAATGCAGTGGGGTCTTGGTAGTTTGAAGTCAGAAGTCAACTGCCGGTTAATAGACTTTTTTGCCGTATGAGTATACGTTGCCCAGGGTGCACCACGTGGAGGTAAGTCTATCGCACACCCCATCGTTTGAATATAAAAGCAATAAACTGGCATTTTGATCACCCTCAAACGTCAAGTATGCAGTTATTTTGGCAACTCATTCCTGAGAATTAACTTGCTCTCTTTAATTGTAGCCTGTCGTGAGTGAACTTAGCTCCCAATTATGAAAGTTAATTATGATTATTAGCACATCTATTGACTAGAGCAATCCCATAATAAACTAATGACTCTCTTGAAGGCCATTCTGATCTCACAACGTTGGCGTTTTCAAGAGAGGGAGGGGGAGAGAGTGAGAGGGAGAGAGGGAAGGAGGGGGGGGGGGGGGGGGGGTGGTGGGGAGAGAAAAGGAGTATGAGTGGGCATTGGAATGCAGATCTTCCTTCTCATTTGGCAATTGGATGCTACTTCTACGTCAACACTGCCTAATAACGATGGACACATCATTGGCATTGATGCCGGTGTTAAGATGTTGAGATTTAAGTGCGCGGTGGTTTAGAATTTTAATGAGCCAACATTGGGTTCATGTTTCACCGAGCAATATAGTTAACAAAATCACAAATGCTATTTATTTATATCAAATGGCAGGCTTTATGAAAGATGTCATTAACAATTGAGTTGATTTTAGGCTTCATAGATGGGCAAAACAAAAGGTTGAGAGGTGGAACTGAAGAGAGTTATTCATAAATGTAAAAGAGACAGGCACAAAACTAGTGAGGAAAAGGTATGGTAGATACTGTGAAAATGGTCGAATAAGACACACAGTCCGATCATGGTATTTTGAAGTCAACTGCCAGATTTTTTACCACACGAGTATGCGTTGGCTAGGCTGGACTGCGTGGAGGTAAGTCTATCGCTCACTATATCACAACTAATATGATGCGCCATAAGTGGGCACTAAATCAAATATTAATTGCTCATCAGTTCGCCTTCCACCTCCTTAATTGACACAATCCCTTCCACTATCTATTAATTCTGCATTTTTTCTACATCATTTTCGATTCAACCGAGCGAACTGTATTTTACTTCTTTCTGTAGGTAGACCCACTTGAACGACATATTTATCTATTCTACAAACCTCAGAGTCTGAGATCATTGAAGCTTATAATCTTGCAAACTTGGAAGAAGATTTGAAATATCACACATCCACATCAATGATATAGATGGTTAATCAATGAACGGGTTCCCCAACAGGTATATTAAGTAATTGGCAAATTGTAGGTGAGTTGTATTGATTTATTTGGAGCTCCATTGGTATATTAAAGGCTCGAAAATGATGACATGTGACTCTCTTACAAACTCTCGTTTTAATTTTTCCTCATTGGGTGCCACCCCTAACTGTCTTCTTAATCGGATGACAACTAGGTTGGGACAATTTGACTGACCACTCTATTTTTATCATAAGGTGACTTAATTAAGGGCACATTTGTCTCTTTGGCTATTTTAAGTTCGATTTTTTTGAGTTAAGAACTAGTCAATGACTGACGCAAAGGGCAAGGCTATTTTTATGGCATTTTTTAGAATGGTCCCCAAACGTAGAATATAAAATCAATCATTTATTCACATCAAATGACAGGTATTTCGATAGTTATCATTAGCCAGTTAGTTGATTTCAGGCTTCATAGGGGGGGGGGGTAGGAACATCATAATCCCAACACTTTGAGTTAGAGGGGAACAGAAGAGGGATCCACAGATATAAAAGAGACGTACAGACACAAAGGTAGAGAAATGGTGAGATGAGTAACGTGAAAGTGGTGGAATATGACATACAGTGGGGTCATGGTAGTTTGAAGTCAGAAGTCAACTGCCGCGTATAGACTTTCTTGCCGTATGGGCATGCGTTTTTTCCCAGGGTTCATCACATGGAGGTAAGTCCATCACAAACCCCTCAAATCAATCACAGCGTATGATATTTTGGTGAGCCATAAGGAAAAGTTAAGGAAACCCAGAATATTTGATTATTAGAAGAAGTGAATATCAGTATAAGTAAAAATTAAATAATTAGGCAGAAATAGCTTTAATTATACGTTGTTGCCTTGAGGACCAACCTTTGTTCAATGGTGGACTATTATTATACGTAGTGAGTTAAAAGGTAAAGGCATAATGACAAATGAGGGGTGTGTGATAGACTTACCTCTATGTGGTGCACCCTGGGCAACGTATACTCATACGGCAAAAAAGTCTATTACATGGCAGTTGACTTCAAACTACCATGTCCCCACTGTATGTCATATTCGACTACTTTCATAGAACTCATCCCACCTTATCTACCTTCGTCTTCGATATACTCTTCTGTT